GGGGGGAACATTAAAGAAATGCACTGTAGTTAACAGCATTTTGCTGTTTGGGTCGGATCTTTCCTGCACTGATCTGTAGATGTAAGTGTAGGTGATCTACTCGAATGATTTATGCATGTTCCTGCTGCTGGATGAACGTGAAACATCAGCGAGAATAACTTCTGTGAGGTACCTTGCATAAACTTCTGTCGGATATAATTCAATACCCAGCGTGGTATTTACTAGAACCTACGGTGTGGGTAGTTGAAAGAAATGAATATTTTGAGATTTTATTTCGAAATATTGGTTTTCTCATATGACATTATCGATTTGTGACTATAATAGATCATTTATTTTAGTGTAAAGTCTAATCAGAAAATTTTCATTTTTGTTTTGTTTATAGAACTTCACGAGTGTCAAATATAAAGTCTATAGAGGAACTTCCATCGCCGTTTTGGTTATTTTTGACGTTATATACAACATAGTACACGTTTGTGCCAAGAAAGAACCTGTCATATCATGGGAGGCACATTTCGTTGGGGGAGCAACCGGGCTGCTCATGGGATTCGTCATTTATCGATGCCACGATAAAACCGAGAGAATGGCGAAGTTTAGCATTATCAACAAATCTCTTTTTTGGATTGGACTTATATTTTTCGCCATTCTCTTCATCTCTTTTGTGATATTATGTGTTCAAATCAAGAAATGTACTCCCGTTAATGTAATTCATGTTAGATATGTATATTTCTGTTGAAATTTTAGACTATTGTTCTGATTAGTGGAATTCAGTGTTTGATACTTTTTATACATTTTTAACCATTGTTTATAATGATGTAATTATGATTAGATACGTATGTTTGGGATCTCATAGACTGGAAAAAATCCATCCATATTTTGATATTGAATATTTTAGATACCGCAAAACGGGACATTTTCGATCAAAGTCAGTGGTTTATTCGACATTTTGTTCCATTTAAAACATTTCAAGAGCAAACATATATTTATCACGTACAAGGTTAGGAGACTACAGTTTTCAACTACATCTTCCTGTAGAATAGAGTCTTCGTTTTCCACATTAAAATAAAATTATTTAAAATGAGATACTTTCAACCCTCTGCGTTTTTTTTCAAAAAGTTATTAACAAATATGTCGTCACTAACTTTGCCCAGTATAAACACGATTTCTTTTTTATGACAATTACAAAATTAGAATTGCTGAGTTCGGAGTCTCTTGTTCTTCAGAATTTTTTTTAAATTAAACTCAGCAGGAGCTTCGCTATACACATCCGCTTCTTCATCGTCCACCCTTTCTGCATTATTTGATGTTATATGGTCTTCACATGGCGTCTTCTACCAGCAGGTTTGGCTAGACGTTTGTCTCTTCTAGGACGAGATTGAGTTATACTGGGTGTAACTGAATAAGTGTAAAACATTTAAGGAGGTGATTCCTTATCGAAAAAAAGATAGGATCTTTCATACAAAGAAATTTCATTTGAGCATCCCTTCTTAAGATACAGCCCCTTAAAGGGGGTACATAAAATTTGTATAACAATTTTTTTCACAAGCACTAAGAAAGTTACAATATTAAAATTAACCTGACGTTTTGTACTACCAAAAAGACACTTAACCAGAAATGTATTTGGTTTACCCCATGGTTGTGAGGGGTGGAAAACGCAACCCCTAAAATTTATTTCCAATGTAACTTTTTGTCTTATTATTTGTTTACCATTCAAAAATTCATTTCCGATAGCCTGTTTCATTCTGAACAAAAAATATCTCTTGGGTGTTTTGCCCAAAATAAACCAGTTCGCAGAAAAAAATTATTTTACGAACAACTACAGAGATACATCGTCATAAATGCGAACTGGATTTATTGTTATTTTGTAGTTAGTACCTGCATTAAACGATTAAAGGGTAATAAACAAAACTAATTTATTAATAACAAAACACACAACATGTAGAAATCATAGTAAATGTTCAATATGTCTACCTTCAGACATTACGCATGCGTCTAGACGTCGGCGCATTGAGCCACGTATCCGCTCAAATATTCCTGGAGTCTCTCTGATTATCCTGCATGCATCGATGATGCGGTTTCTTCTTCAAATGCTGTAAATGGCCCCAAATAGAGAAATCGAGTGGATTGAGATCCGGGGATCGAGCGGGCCAGTTCTGTGGTCCTCATTGACCTATCCACCGATTTGCATATGTTTCAGTTAAATGCTTGACTAAAATGGGCGGGAGCCACATCATGTATGAAAAACATATCCCTTCTGACGCCCCAAGGAACTTCCTCCAGCAGTACTGAATGCACTCCTCTTAAAAATTGAACGTATGCCTCACCATTTAATCGAGAAGGTAGAAAATGAGGCCTAATTAAATAATCCCCAATAACTTCGAGCCACATGTTGAGAGAAAACTGTTCTTGATGGTTAGTTTCGACAATAGCGTGAGGGTTTTTATCAGCCCATATGTGGTAATTATGAAAATTAATAACCTTGTCCCGACAAAAACTACATTCGTCTGTGAATTCTATCGTCATTTCAAGCATCTTATTGCGAAATTCAAGACTGGTAGTCGGTTGTTCTTCAAGCTGTGGTGTTCGTACTTCTCGATGGCGATCACAATCCTGCGTTCTTTTGTCGAATGAACGATATTCTCGTAATCGTTGATGAAGCGAGCAAATATTCTATGTGAAGGATGCTGCCGTTGAGGATACATTCCAGCATATCTTCTAGGAGCTTCTAACCCATTCCCCTGCGACAGACCGTAAACGTAATGCATATCAGGCATTTCCTCATTTGTGTATGCCATTTTAATAACAAGTAAATTATTGAAGTAACAAATTAAGAACAGAACAACACCACACAATTAGTATTAATTCAATTCCGAAAATTCACAAACTGACAGCGTCATACCAATTTAATTGTCACTATCGCTAATATTAACTGCACTCCAATATCTATGAGTTCAGCAACTATATTTTATTTTTCTGTTTTGAAACATTTTCAGGATTTGTTGTTCATCCAACGGATAAATTCCACATGCTTTGAATCCAGCAATTGCATTTTTTTATTATTTTTATTCGAATGTTTCCAACGTGATCCACAAAAGCTCAAAAATTTCGGATTCAGGAAGAACCATTCACGTTCAAATTCATAAAACGTTCATTTTCTATTGGGTTACATTTTTGGGTATTTCATCCTCAATGCTAGTATCACAGCATTGGCGCGGGAGCGGTTCGATTTTTATATGTCTAATTGCCACTCTCGATAGGTTCGAAGATGAGCAACTTTGCTGATGTTTTGCGGTTGCTCTATTTGGCTCCCAGACTCAATTTTTTATTCATTGATTCGTTTATGCAACGCCTCCTTCCGATAGGCTTATACGTGAGTGGTGGTCTCGTGATCGACTTCGATTAATGGATGGTCTCATTTACTACTTTCCTTGTTCTTTAGTATTATCACAGGTAGATTCTTCGGAAACATAGAAAAAAGATCGAAGTTTAGATTAAGGGCTTGTTGTTACTTAACCGATCGCGGCTGATCGTTGTTGATGTTGTATTTTCTAATCGTTGCGTTCGTCAAAGATGTACAGGGCTTCATATAATAGCCACCCGTGTTTGCGGGGCTGATTATGGTGTTATGGTCTGCCCCGATATTGGTGATATCTGCCGTGAGAGGGCTCCTTCGTGAGAAGAATTTATAGAATTTGTAAGAGAATGTTCGTATGTGATACGCCACTCTCTCAATTCCGACTCGCTTCAGGAGATCATTTATTTGAGTGTATCGATCGCTATCCGTGATGATAAAGAGTACTTTATTTTGCATCATTTTCAGCGTTTGAAGAGGCGTTTTCTTCAGGCTGCAAAATACTCGACAGGCGTATACCATTGCTGGTCTAATCAGCTACATCCCATGTGGTTGAATTTGGAGGTGGAAGTACAGAACTATATTATATCTAATATATACAGCGTGTTTCTTAAACACATGCTAACATTCAAGGAGGTAATTCTTAGACCCATTTTAAGAAAAAAACTTCCTATGGACGTATGTCCTAAACGTCTTAGCTTTTGAGATACAGGGTGGTAAAGTTTTCAAAAATAATCAGTTTTTTAATAATAACTGAGATAATTTTGTAGACANCTATTATTCACAGCTCTAACCTCTTTTAAAAATTATTTTGCACTCATTCCAATGTGTTATAATAGCATGTTTTTCTCAATTATACAACGGTACGCGTTTGGTCATCAAAAAGATCACCGGAAATATTCTAGAAGCAATCGAAACGTTGTGAAGTGGTTTGGTTTGAAATATTTATCTCATATTTCCATATTTTTGTTCGTTTTCTTCACCATTTACTATCATTATTTTATTTTGATTTTTCATTTCTTTTTGTTTTATTGTGTTCCTATAACTGTCATTTCACTTATTGTTCGAAGCATTCATTGATCCATTTTCATTTTAGGTCACAATAATTTGTTTCATTCACAAGTGAGTGTACTTGACTTTCTCCTTTTCTATTTTTACTTTCAGGATTTTTTCCTGGGTTTGACATTATTTCTGTTTTTACTAACTCATGCAAATATATCAGTCTGGATATTTTTAGTATTTTTATTAATTTTGATATTTCATTCATTTTAATTTTGGTTATCATTCCATTGCTTTCAAATCTGTTGATACTTTTTCAGACAATGGGTTGTCCAAACATGTAACAGTCACTAAGAAACATTGTCGACCACATTTAAACATACATTATATTACTATTTCTTCTTTCATTGCAGTGGTTTATCATTCCAATGAAATTATTACTCTCGTTCATTTGAAAACATTCATTTCATTCATTTGTTTCTTCTTTCCAGATTGTCTGGAATCTGGTGAAAAGTTGTGCATAGCTCAATATCCAGAAATACAACCCTCTAAAACACGATAAAAGTAATCACAGTGTATGATCACACTGTTTGAACACTAAAATAAACATAATATACGTTTTGTTCTTAGGGAAATGTCAAGTTCGATACATAATATTCAGAATTACTATATTTTTTGGTAACGTTGACAATTTTTGATACAATTGAACATATTTCAGATTCATTGTTGGTACTTTCTAGTTGAGTAGTGAATGTAATAATAAATTTGATAGTCCAATATATTGCAATGAAGAATGTTGCCTGAGCATTCCATTCACTTTTAAACTTCTCGTTTCATTGATTGCAACAAGGTTTTATTCATTTACACCGAGTTAGTTGACTTGTCTCTTGATGAAAGAATATGTGTAATGATTTCTAATATCTCATTTTTTACGTATATTATTTTTGATAATTCATTTCGTTTGAGTATAGTTAATTTTAAGATCGTAAGTTGAACTAAAATTGTGATTCTGTTACTTTTTTGTTATTGATATATTTAGTAAGAATATTCTTTATACAATTGTCTTGACGTTTCATCAATGTAACTTTTGTTGCACGACCAAGTTAAGGTTCAATATGATCAGGTTTTGATCATATTAGATGAGATCTGAATGTTTTGGACCATACTGTCCAATTTTAGACCAATTGGGAATATACATAAGGTAATTCTCATGACAGTTGTTTCGAAAAAGTACACCGGGAAAAATGATTGAAATCTACCTCGGAATTTTCATTTCGAACGAAGAAAATTACTTCAGTTTTATTGAAAATATACTCTCTCTATTGAATAATTCACATCCCCGAGCGTAATTTCAGTAGGCAATGNAATTACACCGTTAAATTTTATCAGAGTATAGAATTCCACTGTGAAATTATATAAGACTGTAAAATTCTACTGTAAAATTCTGTCAAAAGTGTAATATCTCGATAAATTTATATCGCAAATTTACCCTATAAAGTTTTATTTCAACACAAAAGTACACTCAAAATGAAAAATTACACTGAAAAATTCCACACTGGTCTTCGGGGTAGAATTAGAAAATAATATTCCGCATGGAATGTAAGATCACACACGAAAGTAATTTCTCGCTAATATGGGCGGTAATTAAATTGCCACCGGTACCGGTGGAAAAATTTTTACCAGTGTATATCTACATTCGAAACGGATTCGATAAATTATTGTCTTATACTCTATCTACAAA